GAGGCCAGGAGATTTGGGCCTATTTCCATCCCAACGTGTTCCTCACTCCTAGGAACAGTTTCCTGGCGTTGTTAATAGAAACTCATACATATTATTGAATGATGAATAAATAATGTCTCTCCTCTCTTGGCTTTTCTTTGGCTCCTGGCCCATGGTCTGTCGTGTTTTCCCGTGAGATACTCTTCTCTGGTTTCCCCCGAAAATCTCAATACTCCTCATGACACCTCCTATCCTGGCCCTCCCCAACACGTTTCTGTTTGTTGCTGGTTCTCCAGGAACACACAGACCTCTCACTCTCGAACAGGACTGCTGGAGTCTGGCCTCAGCTACCGGAAACATTAGCAGGTCACCAAGACGACTCTTGCTCCGCGGGAAGGGCGTCACGGTGAGTGGGCGCAGTTCTTCAAAAAAAAAAAAAACGTAATAAGTAACTGCGGCCTGGTGCGGTGGTTCATGCCTGTAATCTCAGCACTTTGGGAGGCCGAGGCGGGTGGATCACCTGAGGTCAGGAGTTCAAGACCAGCCTGGCCAACATGATGAAACCCCATCTCTACTAAAAATACAAAAATTAGCCAGGAATGGTGGTGCACACCTGTAATCCCAGCTACTAGGGAGGCCAAGGTAGGAGAATCGCTTGAACCTGGGAAGCAGAGGTTGCAGCAAGCCAAGATCACACCACTATACTCCAGCCTGGGCAACAGAGTGAGACTCTGTCTCAAAAAATAAATAAAAATTTTTAAAAATAAGTAAATATACAAAGTCAAGCTGTGGTGAGTGCTGTTAGGAAATAAAGTAAGAAACTAGGAGTGCTCATGTTTGGAGGTCAGGGCAGGCCTCCCTGAACAGGCAGCACCAGGAGAGACTGGGACAGTCAGGAGGTGAATGGGGCATCATCTGGGGGCCTCAGGAGTGAATTTGAGATCGGGCTTGAGGATGTAGAAAGAGACAGACAAGAGAGAGCGAAACAGTGAGATAGAAGGAGACACTGAGAGACAGAGATGGAGGGGGAGACAGAGTCACTGACACCTCCTTGGAAGGGCAGGACCCTGCTAGAAGGTGCACAGAGATGTCCCCAGGGTGCCTGGCAGGAGATCCCTCGAGGGGGTCTGCTCTCACCTCGAGGACTTGTCCCCTGCCCTGGGGGCCCCTGTGGCCACACAGCTCACAGGGCACTCCTAGTGTCCAGGCTGTCTTTTGTCCCAAGGGCCCAAGACCCCCAATGTCCCCCGCCGGATCCCACTCCAACTCTGCGGAAGTGGGGAGGCTACTGGGTGCCCAGGGCCCCCAGACCCCACCACGTGCTGGCCAGTCCAAGTCTCCCTCGAATTCCAAGTCCTGGTCCAGCGTGTTGGCCTCCTCGAACACCTGGGTCAAAGGACAGAGGTCATGGAGGCTATGAGGTTGGGGCCTGGTTTGGGTGAGGGGTATCAGGATGGGCCCTACCAGGCTGTAGCTGACCAGCTGGGCCTGCAGCTGCCAGAGCCGCTGGAAGATGGAGTCTCGGTAAGCTCCCAGGGCCCGCAGGATCTGCTCCAGGGCTGCCCAGGCCCTGGGCTCACTCCGCTGTGCCAGCCCCTCACCAAACGCTAGCAGCGCCTCCACGCGCTCAGCTGCCCCTCGTAGGTCCGCCTGGAGGGCCTGAGGACACATGGTTGGACATCATCCCACACACACACCAGAGACCCAAAACCTAGAGTTACCCCCTCCCCACAGGCCTGGAACATGCACTCAACCCATTTCCCATCCCGGAAAGCTGGCACCCACTGCTGGGGCCCTGCACACCCCCACATCCTGGCCTCTCCTGCCTACCTGCAGCTGCACCATCCCACTCTGGGCCAATGCCCAGCGCCCCGGGCCTTGCTCCAGGTCCTGCAGCCGGCGGCCCAGCCCCAGCAGGCACAGGTGCAGGCTGTCCTGCTCAGCCTCTAGTACCTCCAGGCCAGAGATGGGGTGCTGGGGAACACAGGAGCCAGGTCAGGACCAGTGGGCCAATCAAGATATCACCCCTGCTCCCATCCCCACCCCGTTCTGTAAGCTTCTGGAAGCTTCTCTGCGGCAGTCCATCTCCAGGTCTGTCTGCACCAGGGTCACTCCCACTGGGGGGCCTTCCCAGTGGTGCCAGGCCTGAGGAGAGACATCTAGTTCAAGGTCTCCAGGTTTTATAGCTCCTGGAAACTTGGATGTTTGAGGCCCGGGGGCTCTGGACAGGGAGCGGGGCTGGGTACCCCCCGGGGTACCCATTCTCGGAAGAATGGGGCTACATCAGGTGCAATGATGAAATGCTTCTCAGCCAGGTGCAGTGGTTCACACCTATAACCCCAGCATTTTGGGAGGCCGAGGCCGGAGGATCAGGAGTTCAAGACCAGCCTGGGCAACATGGTGAGACATCGTCTCTATTGTTTTTTTTTTCTTTTTTTAATAAAAAAGAAATATGGCTGGGCACGATGGCTCACGCCTGTAATCCCAGCACTTTGGGAGGCTGAGGCGGGCGGATCACCTGAGGTCGGGAGTTTGAGACTAGTCTGGCCGACAAGTTGAAACCCCATCTCTACTAAAAATACAAAAAATTAGCCAGGTGCGGTGGCATGTGCCTGTAATCCCAGCTACTTGGGTGGCTGAGGCAGGAGAATCAGTGGGACCTGGGAGGCGGAGGTTGCAGTGAGCAGAGATCTCACCACTGCATTCCAGCCTAGGCAACAGAGAGGCTCCATCTCAAAAAAAAAAAAAAGAAAATACGTCTCCCTGGTTGGTCAGATATTGAAACACTTTTCCAGAGGGTCCCTCCCCCTACAGACACCCAACACCTTTCCAGAATCATCACCCAGTCCTCACTGTGGAGGCCAGACTCTGGAGGACAGAGAGGAGGTAGGGCTGGCATAAGGGGTCTGGGTCACCTCAGCTCACCTCACAGTGTTTGCCCCCAGCTGGATCCTTGTAGGAAGAGGGTGTTGACCATCTTGGGGGCTGAGCAGCAGGCTCATTGCCCCCTGGCCCACCCTGGAAGTGCTCAGGAGGGTCCAAGGAGTCCTGCCTCAGGGTCTGGGCCTGCTCTGGGCTAGGAGGCAGGGGGCGGTGACTGGGTGAGTCTCGACACCTCACTTTTCAGCCTACCCTCACCCCAACCCCAACACCTCACTTTTCAGCCTACCCTCACCCCAACCCCGGCGGCCTCTCCTGTGTCCCCAGGTGATCACAGCCATGGCACCTCCTACCCTCATATGGCCCCTGCCACCACGCCTACCCTCTTGGAAACAAGCTTCCAAAGCCCAGGCCCCCACCTCGTGCTCTCCTCTCCGGATGCGGGGCAGACGGTGCATCCAACAATGTCTGGCTCCCTAGGTGCTCCCGGGGGGTGGTTGAAGGGCTCTGAGCCAAGTCTAGGGCCCAGAGGCAGGGACAGGGCCATGGCTGGGGGCCTGGGGACACAAAGTCAGGTGAGGGCAGCCAGTAAGACCTCTTCCCTAGACAAGAGTGTCCCAGAGCTCCTACACTGTAGTCACAGGGGCCTGAGGCTGCAGGAGAGGCCCAGGACAGGTCTGGCTCCGCCCCTTCCAAGAGGAACCTGGACCCGGCCATTTGATGCCCAGCTCAGGTGACAGAAGAGCCACTTAACTCCTTCCTCCCTAGCAGGCCAGTAGCTAAATCTCCCAGCATCACTCCAGGCCATCCAAGAGGGTTCCAGATAGAACCCTTCCCCCACCTCCTCAAGAGCCATGGATTCTGCCCCACTGGGGACCCAGACATCTGACCTCTGGGGCCTACCCCATTCGTTTAAGACCCTAGATGCCGCGCCCCTCAGGAACCCAAACATCTGGCTCCCTAAAAAATAAAAGTCTAAGACCAAGGAAAGATTTTTTGTTTATTTGGTATGGGGTCTTCTGTAGCTCACACAAAATTACTGGGAAAATAAATAAACCAGGGGAGCCCCCTCTGCCCACGGTTCCAAGGTCGCAGAGTCACAGCAGCCCCAAGAGGGCAAGAACCCGGGAATCCGAGGGGTCCCGGCCCTGGCGGTCACTTGCCCAACAGAAGGCCGGCGCGCAGCACGCGGGGCACGCGGCGGATGGTCAGCGAGACCCGGGTGCCGCGCACCAGGCAGGCTCCGGGCCGCGCCGACGGGCAGGCGGCCGCATTGGGCGGCGGGGAGGCGGCGTCCAGCGCGTCTTCGCGGGCGGCGGCGATGCCGTGGAGGAGGCGCGTGTAGGCGGGGCCGCGGAGCACCAGCAGGCTGCGCGGTTCCAGCAGTAGCGAGGTGGTGGGCCGGGGCGGAGGCCGAGGCTGCAGGGTGGGTTGAGGGTCAGCGGGGCTCAAGAAGTCGGGGGGTGGGCGAGAGGTCGGCAGGCTCCGGGGGTCAGCGAGTCCCCGGCAAAGGCTGAAGAGCAAGTGCGCTCACAATGATGGAGGCTTTGGTGGTTCAGGAGTGAAAATTGCTGGGGCTTGGGCTGGGGCTGCCAGGAAGGGAGGGCGAGGGCTCTGCAGTCCCTCGGGAGGGGGCAGGATCTAGGCGGCAGATGGGGGCGTCAAAGGGTCAGCGGACCGTGGGAGCTGCAGCTGGGATCTCCAAGGGGCTGGGGCTGGGGCTAGGACCCAGAAATCAGCAGTCCCCAGGAAATGAAGGCAGAGCTGGGCTGAGAGAGCATGGCTGAAGCCAGAACCAGGTGAGGACAGAGTGAGGCAGAGGTTAGAGGCAGTGGGGGTCCCCAAGGATATCAGGACATGAGAGGACAACTGCACAGCTGAGGGAGTATCAGAGCATCCAGGAGCATGCAGGGCTTGAGGGCAAGCCCCAAGAAGGAGTGGGTCAGGGTGTTCAGGGGCGTTTCTGTGAACACTGGGGTGCTAGAAATGCATCACTCAGAGAAATCATGTGTCAGGGGCCAAGGAGAATCTGGGGGTGTCCTGCACCCCAAATCACATTCCTAGAGTAGCAGGACATCTGGGGCACCCTAAGCAGGGGCAGATAGGGCATCTGGGAGGAGGTGAGGCCCCCCTGAGTTAATGGCGGTGGGGTATCTGAGGATATCAGTGTCTGCTAGGGAGTCAGGGGCATCCACTCAGCAGGTGGGGGCATCGGGGAGCCTGTGGAAATCATGGCACGTGGGGCACCCTGTAAGCAGATGGGCTGGGTGTCTGGGAGGAAGTGGGTATACCCCATGAGGGTACACCCCATGAGGGTACAAGGGAAGGTATCTGGGAGAGTGCCAGGAGTACCCCAAAGGCACGTGGGACCAGGTCATCTTGGAATTTAGTTCTTGAAGTGCCTACAAGCGGTTGGGGCAGTGTCTGGGGGCCCACCTCCTCTGTAGGGTCATCATCCTCTGGCCGCCGCGGCTCATAGAAGTCCAGCACAGTGTGGGAGCCCAGGCTGATGGTGCTGACAGTCGGGTAGTACAGTGGTCCGTCCTCGTGGGGCTGGGGAGTGGGCACCAGGGCTGGCAGGGCAGGAGTCCACAACCCCCACCCTCTGGGTCAACGCGGGGCTCCCAAGCCCCACGAGGGCTTGTCCCTCCCAAGCCAGGGACAGGCAGGTGAATGCCTGCTTGGGAGATATGGCTGCCTAATGAGTGAGGGTGGGTACAGGGTCCTCTGCCCCAGCATGGCTCAGAAGTCTGAGTGGGGGGACACGGGCTGAGGGTGTGTGGTTACCATGATGCCCTCCCCAGGCAGATACTGGTTCACAAGGACATGGTTAGCTGGGAGGCCTCCAAAGAGGCTGAGGTCAGACACTTTGTCCACGTAGCGCTGGAGCCATGGGGGCAGCCGCTCAGGAACCATCCCCCGGGGATGGGGAAGCCCACCTGGGGAAGGCAATGGGGTCCTGAGGGCTCCCCCCTAGCAACAGATCCCCCATTAGGGATTCCACAATGGCTGGAAGCACCCTGATCCCCTCAGGGACCCCTGACCCTTTGGAGATAGCCACTGGGTCCTTCAGAGGTTTACTCACTTCTCCAGACCACGGGCCCCTTTCAGATACTCCCAACTCATCAGGAAATCGCTAATCCCTCAGGACCTCCACTGACCCCTTTAAAATCCTCCTGGCTCTTGGGGCTCCTTGAGCTGTCAGGGACCCTCTGATGTCTTAAGTCTATTGGACCTGAGTCCCCTGCCCCAGCCTACATCCCAGAATCACTCATGCCCCAAGCCAGGGATACTTACCCCAGTTCTGTAACTTTCTCCCAGAGAGCTGGGTCCACTTTGGCTTTGGGGCATTAAAAACCTAGGAGGTGGGAAGGGGGTCACTCCTTTCTCAGGATCACCCCTCTATGATTCTCCCACCTAGGTCAACATAAGGGCCTTTACCTCTGGGGTGGAAATGGGTCATCTCAGTGTCTGTGGGACCATTTCCTGGGGCGGTGGGTTCCTAGGATTTTGTGATTTGCCTTCTTTCCTGGGACTGCCTTTGGCCTCAAAGCCCATCCATGTCTACCAGGATGTAGCAATCAGGGCTGCACAACCATGGTCTGAGAGTTGTGGGTCTCACAATCTACTCAGAGTGCTGGGGCTGGACAGGGCTTTTTCAGCCCAGCCAATAGTCTGCATTCTAATTTCCTGATTCCATGCCAAACCCGGTGGCTCACGCCTGTAATCCCAGCACTTTGGGAGGCCGAGACGGGCAGATCACTTGAGGTCAGGAGTTCGAGACTAGCCTGGACAACATGGGGAAACCCCGTCTCTACTAAAAATACAAAATTTAGGCTGGGCGCGGTGGCTCAAGCCTGTAATCCCAGCACTTTGGGAGGCCGAGATGGGCGGATCACGAGGTCAGGAGATCGAGACCTTCCTGTCTCTACTAAAAATACAAAAAATTAGCCGGGTGAGGTGGCGGGCGCCTGTAGTCCCAGCTACTCGGGAGGCTGAGGCAGGAGAATGGCGTGAACCCGGGAGGCGGAGCTTGCAGTGAGCCCAGATCGCGCCACTGCACTCCAGCCTGGGCGACGGAGCGAGACTCCGTCTCAAAAAAAAAAAAAAAATACAAAATTTAGCTGGGCCTGGTGGCACGCACCTGTAATCCCAGCTACTTGGGAGGCTGAGGCAGGAGAATTGCTTGAACCTGGGAAGCAGTGTGATGACACACGCCTGCAATCCAAGCTACTCAGGAGACTGAGACACAAGAATTGGCTGAACCCAGGAGGTGGAGGCTACAGTGAACTGAGATCACACCACTGCAGTCCAGCCTGGGCGACAGAGCAAGATTGTCTCAAAAAACAAACAAACAAAAATTCCTGATTCCTGGGCTCTCTGAGGACAGTTTGAGTTCTGCAGCCTCCTTGTTCCTATTGCCTGGGGAAGGGAATATGCAAAGCTGGGCTATCTCAGCACAGCAAAGAAAGTACTTTGAAAATCTTCCACTGCCAAGATCCTAATGGTCTAGAATGGGCTATCTCAGTCCAACAAGTCTATGCTCTAGTTGATAATCTACTCATTCCCTTCATGGTTATGGAGCTGTACTGGGCTATTTCAGCCCAGGAATTCTATAATATGTAGATTTTTCAATGCCAAGAACACAAAGGTCTGGAATGGGCTATCCCAGCAAAAGAAGTCTGTGTTCTGTAGCTAATTTTTTTTCCTGGACTCAAGATCAGTGGGTTACTCCAACACAGGGAAGATCTGTGCTTTGTAACTTAGGCTCTGGGGCTGCAAAGGGCAGGAACTCTAAGCTTTGTAAATTCTTCTTTCCCCAAACCTTAAGAACAGAATGCAGACTGGGCCATCTCAGCCTAGATGGTCTGTGTTTGGTAACCTTATTCCTAAGGCTCTGGGTCTATGCTGAGCTATTTTAGCACAGGAAAGAGTTTACTGGGCTATCTCCGCACAGAAATCTGAACACTAAATTCTTTACTCCCCAATCTCAATGATCTGAACTGGGCTATCTCAGCCTATGTTTATAACCCCCTATTCTCTAAGCTAGCAGGATTGGGCTATCTCAGTAGAGGCAGTATGAGCTCTGTAACTTCCTTGTTCCTTTTGTCAGGGTCTTCACTGCAGCCTTGTGGGCTTTCATACAGAGGATGGGCATTGGGGAGGAATATGGGAAGAGTGGGGAAACAGACCAGAAGGGCACTGAGGTCACCTGTCGAAGCAAATACTCCTCCTCTTCTTTGGAGATGAAGTCTGGGACATAGTAGATTACAGGTGGTGCCTAGGATAGACATGACTTCCTTGAAGATGTGGCCCTTCAACCCACACAGAGGACATATCATCACAGAGCAACCCCTATGCCTGGAGACAGGCTCAGGATGTCCTCAGACAGGTCAGGGTCTGAAGTCAAGGGACCAGTGCCATTCCAGAATGGACTCTGACAGTAAGAATGAATTTGGAGGAAGGGGGCAGTCCCAACCCCAGAACTCAGGAGTCAGCCTGCCTCCTTCACCCTCTGCACCCCGAGTTCTGACAACCTGCTCCACTCTGAATGGTTCCAGGGCTGGGACTCTGGCGTCCTGCTCCTCCATCACCACCAACTCCTTGCACCTAATCCTGTAGGGACGGGAGGACACGCTGAAGTCACTAGGCCTCCCACCCTAACACCACAACGCAGCCTTCCACGCCATCACAGGCCAGGCTTCACCTCAGCCCTCTTCTGAAACTCACTTGGTCTCTAAAAGCTGAGTCTTCAGCATCTTACAAGCCACACAGAGAGCCCCTAGGCTCCATGCCCGGAAACAATGAACCCCAAGAATAATCCCCCATTACTCTGTTTACTAAGGGCCCATCAAACTACACATATGCCCTCTCAATCCTCCCACAGAGAACATCGTCTGGCCCCACACACAGGGAGCCTTTCTCAAAAGCTCTACATATAGCCCCCAGGGTTGCACCCCAGAACCCCTTTAAACACCTTAAGACCTCGCTTCAGACCTGCAACTGTGAGCCCGGCTATCAACACTCAGCGACCCCCGCCCCCCACCGAATCCCATTCTGTGCACCCCTGTAACCCCAATCTGAGCCTCCTCAGACATGTCCACCCTCAGTCTCCTCGGATCCTCCCATCTGGACGCCCCTCGGATTTCCCTGCCTAAGTGCCCCTTCACTCCAGCACCCTGGGATCTTTAGCTCTGATGCTGACTCCCAAACCTTCTTCCCTCCCTGAATCCTTCAGACCCCCGACTCCGAGCCTTTTAGGACTCCAAGCTCTGAGCCTCCTCGGACTCCTACTCTGGGCTCCCCCGGATCCCCACTTTCAGCCCTCTTGACACCCATCTCCACCCCCAGCACTCCCCAAAACTGACCGTCCACCAGCGTCCCCTCCAATTTCCAAATTCAACATCCCCATCCCCCTCCCAGCCATTTCCGCCCCACATTACAGACGCTGAGCTCGCAGGCCAATGGGAGCTCCCAGAGGCCTCAAGGGCCCGCCTTCCACCCAATCGGCGCTCTTACTCAGTATTCGCCCTCCCACTTCATCCTCTCCCAGGGATAGGCCGCGCCTCCTTGTCTCCGAGCCATTGGCAGGAGGGCGTGGGCGGGGCATCGTCGTCTGGCACTGGCCAATCAGAACTTAAGAACCGAACCGGGCCATCGGCCGAGTGGACCCGGATGGGCGTGACGGGGGCTGCAGCCGTGACAGCCGCGGGAAGATACGAGAGGGTGCTAGAAGGACTTCTCGCGGCCAGCGCCAGCCGGTGCCCACGCCGCAGGGAGGCGAGACTGAAGGAAGCACTTCCTTTCCCGCCTTCTCCCAACAAGGGAAACCCCCAAACAATGACCCGACACAGAGAGGCCATAGAAACGTCTTTATTGAAGAGGACAGGAGTCATGCTGAGTTTGGGGACATGCAGTGAAGGGGCAGTCGTGAGCTGTCCTTGGTGGTTGGGGCCCCAGGTCTGCCCTGGACTCCCTGGGCCTTCAGGTTCTCCCTCGGGCTGTTGGTCGGGCCCAGGTGCTGTGGGGTCCTTTGAGGCCAGTGACTAGAACGTAGGTTGAAATCGGGGTTCCAGGATTTGGGATCCCTTCAGGGCCTTGGGGCCTTCCATTTACTAGAGATGGAGGCTTTAGGATTTGGGGTTCCCTTAGGGCTGGGGATCTTGGAATTTGGTGTCTTGAAATCCGTGGACTCAGGGCATTGAAATTCTCCAGTTTCCAGGGATGGGAATTCCTGTGTGGGGTTTCCTGGTGCCTGTCAATAGGGCTTGAGGTGCCTGGGAGCCTGGAATGCATATCCTGACTGCAGTCTCCTCCATACCAGGCACAGCGACCTCATGATTGGGTTTCCTGGTGGCTTGGGATTGGATTTTCAAATTTGGGATTCCCTGGGGATTTGGGGATTCCATGATTCGGGGGTCCTAGGAGTTAGGGCATTGGGGTCTTCTAGGGGCTGTAGGACTTGAGGGCACAGGGGAGTTTGGGATGTGTGTACTCTAGGGTTTGGGATCCCCAGAGTCCTAGAATGGGGCCTCCAAATTTTGGGGTTCCCCAAAGGGGGAAGTCGTTACTTAAAAAATAGATAATTTTCTGGGAGCCTGGCCAGCACAGGAGCTGTGGGCCATGTGGGGTGGGCTTCGTACAAGGCACTGGGGGTTTCTTGAGGGTGCAGAGGGTAGGAAGACTTGGGGGTCCTGTAATTAGCACTTCCAGGACTGTTTTGGTGTCTGTAAATTAGGGGTGACAGTGGGCTGGTTATGGTGGGTTTCTCTTGAGGGGTAAGAACAAGGGTCTTTGTTAATGAAGGCAGTCTCTGATTGAGGGGCTGGAGTGTAAGGGCTTCAGGGTGACCATGGGGTCACGACATCTTGAGGGGACTGATGTTAAATTGGGAACAATGACATGAACGTCTGTTACTCTTTTGCTTTGGGGGTGTGACCTATGTTTATTTCAAGAGGACTTTGTGGGGAGTGTTTGTTAATGGGGAAGTTTCTGATCCAGGGTTGGGTGATTCAAGAATGTTCTGTTGTAATGCGTTATGTGGAGAGGGTCACCATCATTAGGGGTGATGTGGAGATCTGTTAATCTGGGAATCTGCTCTGCGGGGTTGGGGATAGGGACTAGCCTGAAGGTGCTACTCAGGGAATCTCTTTCTGGGTGAAATGGGGTCTGTATTTGGGGGTTATTATGGGGCTATCTGTTAATAATGGGGCCTCAATGATCGAGGGCTGGCTAACAGGGGTCTCTACTCTGGATGTGTTACTGGGAATCTCTATCTCAGGGTGACTCAGGGCTCTTCGGGTGTCAGGAGATGCTAGTGGGGACTCTGTCTCTTTGTCAGGTGTCCAGGGCCTCTAAGACTGCATCTCTGCCCTCAGCATCCAGGGGAACCAGCAGCAGAACAGCAACCTGGAAAGGAGAATCACAGGGTCACACCCTTAGGCAGGCAGCGGGGACATCTGCACCCATCACCCCCAGCCTTTCCCCCAGTGTTTGCTATCAGGCCTTTCTGGATTTTGCCTCTACCTCTCTGGCTATGGTTTGTTTGTTTGTTTGTTTGTTTGTTTTCTGAGACGGAGTCTCCCTGTCACCCAGGCTGGAGTGCTGTGGCATGATCTCGGCTCACTGCAACCTCTGCCTCCCAGGTTCAGGCAATTCTCCTGCCTCAGCCTCCCGAGTAGCTGGGACTACAGGTGTATGCCATCATGTCTGGCTAATTTTTGTGTTTTTGGTACAGACGGGGTTTTACCATGTTGACCAGGCTGGTCTTGAACTCCTGACCTCAGGTGATCCAGCTGCCTCAGCCTCCCAAAGTGCTGGGATTACAGGCGTGAGCCACCCCGCCTGGTCTGTAGCTGTTATTCTGAGGCTCATGTGGAGTGAAGGGTGTTCTGCTTCCTTTACCGCCCCCCCGAAAGTGGAAGTCACTAGAATTCAGTGCGGGGCCCTACACCCTAAAGACTGTTTCTGGGTATGCTAACAAGTTACAAGTTTTCCTAACCTCTCTTTCCAGCCCTGACCAGAGCTCCAAATCTCTGGGTCCAACTGCCTTGTGGATCCCTCTCCCTGAATGTCGCATAGGAGAGGGGACAGGGGTTGGCCACACACCTGGAAATGGAGTTCTCTGATGCAATGTCCTTTGGGGTCCGGACTGTGGTGAAGGTGCGTTTGGGCTGCGTCACTGAAGAGGAGGTCAGGATGTCAAGTGAGGGGATGACAGACCACCTGTGTCCTCAATACTCATTCAGACTCCTTCTCATTAATACCTCCCCATGTCTCCAGCCCCTACCTGGATCTCACATTCCCAATACCCATCTGGGCCCCTTGTCCATAATTCCCACCATGTCCCCCAGTGACTGTCCCTTTCCCCAGTATCTGCTCAACCTCATGTCCCTAAAGAGCCTTGTTGCTAACTTCCTCATACCCTTCAGCACCTATCTTTTTGGGGACCTTGTCTCATCATTTTCCTGGACCCTGTATCCCCCATTAAATACCAGAGACTGTCACCAGTATATACCTGAGAACCCAGGACCCTTCCTCCCATCCCCAAACTTACACTCCCCACATATCATCTCCCAACTCACTTGTCACTTGATGCACTTTTTTGGCTCCAACACTGTCCCCAGGGGGATCAGTGGATCCGCCAATCCTGAGGAGACACAGGGAGGGGGGAGAGGTCAGAGCCACAAGAGGCCAGAGTCTGACTGGGGGCTGGGGGGTGTCCACACTGTCCTGCTGGTCTGGGAGGAGGAGGCCATCTGATGGGGGATCAGGGCTCCAGGTGGTACCCTGGGTTGGGGCTAGAAGTTTAGGCTCACCTCTGAATACGGGATGCTGGTGCGAAGACCCCATGCCTCGGGGGGCAAGTGAAGTACCGGACGCCGAAGACAGAGCCATCATGCTTGCCTGTGGGCTGGTCCAGCTCAATGCCATACCAGTAACCTGCAGCACGAGGGTGTCAGGATTTCTCAAGGCCCTGCCTGGCCCCTGGCCCAGAGTCCCCATCCTCACCTGGGGCAAAGTCTGTCTTCCCATAGAAGCGCACAATTCCCTGCTTCTGGCCCGCGACAAGGACCTGGTCTCCAACCTCAGCCTTGGCCCCATCACGCTGCTGCAAGCTGCCCAGAGATGGGGATGATGGGGTCTTCTTCTTGCCTAAGGGAAGAAGGTGCAGGAGGTGCGTAGGGGGGTGATGCCAGCTTTGGGAACCCCATGCCACCTGGAAAACCCCAAGGTAGAAACCCTGTTCTTGGTTTGAAGTGAAACTGAATCCCAGATGCCAGAGAATTAGGAAGGGGCTTTAGGCCTGAAAGGAAACCAAGTCAGAGAACCTGAAGAACCCCAAAATCCTTTCTCAAAGCTGAGGATATGTTGGATTAGGAAAAGCTGAGTCAGAAGTCAGGAACCCAGAAACTGTCCTTTTAAAATGAAGGGAGAGGCCGGGTGCAGTGACTCATGCCTGTAATCCCAGCACTTTGGGAGGCCGAGGCAGGCGGATCATGAGGTCGGGAGATCGAGACCACAGTGAAACCCCATCTCTACTAAAAATACAAAAAATTAGCCGGGTGCAGTGGCAGGCGCCTGAAGTCCCAGCTACTTGGGAGGCTGAGGCAGAATGGCATGAACCTGGGAGGCGGAGCTTGCAGTGAGCTGAGATTGCGCCACCACATTCCAGCCTGGGCGACGGAGCGAGACCCCATCTCAAAAAAAAAAAAAAAAAAAGAAGGGAGAATTTGGGTCTGAGAGTAAATCAGGCTGGGTGCAGTGGCGCAGGCGTGTAATCCTAGCACTTTGAGAGGCTGAGGCAGGCGGATCACTTAAGGTCAGGAGTTTGAGACCAGCCTGGCCAACATGGCAAAACCCCGTCTCTACAAAAAAAAATACAAACATTAGCCGGATGTGGTGGTGGGCGCCTGTAATCCCAGCTACTTGGGAGGCTGAGGTACGAGAATCGCTTATACCCGGGAGGCAGAGGTTGCAGTGAGCCAAGATCGCGCCACCACACTCCAGCCTGGGCAACAGGGCAAGACTCTTGTCTCAAAAAAAAAAAAAGTAAATCAAATGACCAAAGCCACAGATTCTTCCCTAAAACTGGGGGAGACCTTTGGGCCTGAGAGGAAACTAAGTCACAAAGGGCAGGGAACCCACAGGTCCTTCTAAGAACTAGGGGGGACCAGTACTGAGCCAAAGGGGAAACTGAGTCACAGAAGTCAGGAACTCAGAGCTTGTCTTCCAAAACTGGAGTTTGGGCCTGAAGAGAAACTGAATCACAGAAGCTGAGCTACCCCCACAACATTCCCAAACTGGCTCTTCCCACCGCAGGGATCCCCTCTCTGACCTTTGTGTTCCCTGCGGCCTTTGCCAGTAACACGGGAGAAGTCCATCCGGGGGGTCCGGGGCGTAGAGGTGACAGAGGAGGGGGGTGCGTCCACTGCCTTGGAGATCTTGGACACGGAGGCAAAGAGACCTACGAGTACAGAGTTCAAGCCTGGTGTTGTCCAAGCCTCTGCCCTCAGCCCCCATCCCCCATCCCCTGTTTCCCAGTCAGCAGCATCAGAACTGCTGAGTGGACCCGCGGCCGCACCCCTCTTGGGCCCCAGGTGAGACTAACCCTGCTTGGGGGGGCAGATGAAGTACCGAACGCCCCCAACGCTGCCATCATTCTTGCCCTCAGGCTCGTCCAGCTCCACGCCCACCCACTGGCCGCTGGCAAACTCCGTGGTCCCACAGAACCGCAGTGTGCCCGTCTGGGGAGAGAAGGGAGGCGATGGCTGAGGAAGGAATGCTGGGAGGCCAACGTGGAGTGCTCGCACACAGGCAGCAAGGTAGGGTGCATAAGGCCACCCTGGGCCCAAACCCCAGGTCACACATCACCATTTGCTGGCTACATGAGTTAACCTCTCTGTGCCTCAACTTCCTTTGCTGTGAAATGGGAACAAATATACTCACCTTATAGGATTGTTAAAGAGTTGCCCTGTCTCATATAGTGAATAGTGACTAGCCACATAGGACAATTTAAATTTATTTATTATTATTATTGTTATTATTATTTCAGACGGAGTCTCGCTCTGTTGCCAGGCTGGAGTGCAGTGGCAAGACCTTGGCTCACTGCAAACTCCGCTTCCTGGGTTCAAGCAATTCTCCCGTCTCAGCCTCCCAAGTAGCTGGGACTACAGGTGCACGCCACCACGCCTGGCTAATTTTTGTATTTTTAGTAGAGACAGGGTTTCACCATATTGGTCAGGCTGGTCTGGAACTCCTGATCTCAGGTGATCCACCTGCCTCAGTCTCCCAAAGTGCTGGGATTACAGGCATGAGCCACTGTGCCTGGCCAACAATTTAAACTTAAACTAAGGCCGGCTGCGGTGGCTCATGCCTGTAATCCCAACACTGGGAGGCCAAGGCTGGAGGATTACTTGAGGCCAGGAGTTTCAGACCAGCCTGGGTGAAAATGGCGGGACCCTCTCATCTTAATCTGTTCCAAAATACAAAGGCAGCAAGACCCTATTCTCTATAAAAGAAAGAAAAAAGGTAGCCAGGTGCAGTAGCTCAAGCCTGTAGTCCCAGTTACTTGGGAGACTGACGTGGGAGGATCACTTGAGCCCAGGAGTTCAAGGGTGCAGTGAGCTATGATTGTGCCACTGCACTTCAGCTTGGGCAACAGAGCAAGACCCTGTCTCAAAAATAAATAAATGCATACCTTAGGAACAAGACTCAGATAATTTTTTAATTTAAAAATAAATAAATTTAGTCCGGGCGCAATGGCTCACACCTGTAATCTCAGCACTTTGGGAGGCCAAGGTGCGAGGATCACCTGAGGTCAGGACTTCAAGACCAGCCTGGCCAACACGGTGAAACCCCCATCTCTACTAAAAACACAAAAATTAGCTGGGCGTGATGGCGCACGCCTGTAATCCCAGCTACTCGGGAGGCTGAGGCAGGAGAATTGCTTGAACCCCGGAGTGTTGCAGTGAGACCAGATAGCGCCATTGCACTCCGGCCTGGGCAACAGAGCAAGACTCTGTCTCAAGAAAAAACATAAATAAAAATAAAAATCAATAAATTTAAACTAAAAGTGCATTTCCCCAGTCACACTAGTCATATTTCAAGTGCTCAATTGTCACATGTGGCTTGTAGCTTACTTTACTGAACAGCACAGACACAGAATATTTCTACCATTACAGAAAGCTCTGTTGGACAGGGCTGTCATAGAGAAATTAAAACCCTCGGAACAGGCTTGCCATTAAGTAAAGGATCAGCAAGTATTCGTTATTGAAAAATGGTTTTTTGCTGGGCGCGGTGGCTCACACCTGTAATCCCAGCACTTTGGGAGGCCGAGACGGGCGGATCACGAGGTCAGGAGATCAAGACCATCCT